AATATATTTTTTATTTCTAAAAAGTTAGTTTCTTTATTTTAATTTTTCTTATATTTATTAAATATAATTTTAAATTTATATATTTATAACGATAAATCTAATCTTACATACAAAATTTTTCAATATTTAATATATATCATTTCATTAGCAAAATCAATAAGTATACTAATATAATTTTTTACATTAGATGATACTATATATAATAAAAAATAATTTTTCTCTTCCAAAACTCCTTCTCACACGTTCTAAAAAGTTAAAATTAAAAATTTTAAAATAAAAATTCAAGATCATACCTATTCAATCGTCCTCTAAAAAATTTGCCGATACGATGTTAGACAGGCCTCTCCGGGTTTCCTTCGCTGGACTTACCGCTGTGGCCTATGGGGGCGTGGTCTCTTTTAGGAAAATCTGCTTGCCATGGAGTAGGGATTTGATCTGGCCCCCAAGATTGGGTCCCATTAAACGAGAGTTTCTTTAGTCCACCAATGGTAATAAAGAAATGATTTTTGTATAATTTATTTTATTTTTTTATATAATTTGATATATCATTTAAATAATTAATTTTTTTAATTTAGATGAAACTTATAATATTAATTACATTTACTTTTTTAATAACATATAAAAATTTTATAAAAATATAATATAAAAAAATTCTTCTTACGGCACCAGATGAAAATATCATGTTTGTGGGGAGTCAAACTTCAGGAACTTTTTAGGCTAAATTTGGAAATTACTGATTCCGCTGCAAAGTTGCCTGCTGCTGTTCGGTCTCCATCTCCACGCACGGCTGACTCAGGCGGACCGGAATTTTTTTCTTTTTCAATGAAAAGGAAAGACGTGGGGACTGGGGAACGGAACCTTGCTTTCAACGCAATTTGTCTTAATTAAGAGAATCTCATGAGAACTTGTAGTTTAATAGTTATTTAGTGTTTATAAAAAACTTTTTAGATTAAATTTAGAATCGTAAAATTTGACTGTTATTCTCAATGTTAAAAAAAAA